AGAAGCACTTATGCTAGTATTAATATCTTAGATGTTATGACCCACCATAACATATTTCAGGCATGGGGGATAATATTTTTGTGACGATTGTTCTCGTCATGTCTTCACATGTGCTTATATTTCGGTCATAGTTGTTATCACCAACATTGACATATCTTCCACATTGTAGAAATTAATTTGCAGTATATTAGTCAACATTTATGTGGTTACTATCATCTTTCTCATTTAGGTTTTCGCATATTTCCTTTGAAAGTTGGAAGCAAGTCGGATGAGCATCCACATATTTCCTACACAATGTGGTGTGGATCCCTCGGGAAGCGAAATATCAACTACAGACAGCCTTATTCAAGAATTTCAAGAATTCGAAGCACAAGTGTATTCTGGTGCATTATTCGAACAAAAATGCAGGACTAGTACTCCATCAAATGAAAACATTAATTCTTTACCAAGTCAAATGATTAATATCCCCACAATAAGACTTGACCCATCTTCTCGAGGAACTTGTGCCAAGCAACAGTTGGAGAATTTTGGTCCGAATGAAGTAGGTTAAATTGTTTGGTGTGTTAGTTTTATTAGGGAGAACACAAAGAAAAATTACCTTTGGTTAATGTAAGCAACACTTTATTCGATGTCTTAAGCAATACTAACTACTTGTAATTCGTGGAAACTTTGTGTTTGGTAGCAAGATGAAAGCTTTTAATTAGGCCATGGATTATGTTGATTTACTTATGTCATGCAATAAGGAAATGATGAGTATAGCTGGAATGAAACATGGACTTTAGCAGATACTTTCTAAATTATTTGCTAACTTCTAATAGCTGGGTTATGAGACTAATAACAATTAGATTTTAATTTCCTTTAGACCAGTTTCCTCGGTGGTATTGTGTTGGCGGGATATATATTGGATTAAATAATATACCGTATAGGGTTATGTTGGGGCACACTCGTCGGTTATTTCTTATTAAATGGGCAGAACCGTACATAATGCCAATCACCACATAACCAACTGACAGTACTTGATCTGTTACGAGTTTTTCTCGGCTTCTGTGCTTCTAACTTAGTATTAACATTGACACTACTGCAGGTTAAATGCGGATTTACCTGTTCAATTAAATTATTGTCTTGTCTGATGCTTTGTAGCCGTTTACACTTATCTGTCAGTATCCTGAGCGTGACGTTGGGTCTTGATCCAGTCTAGTTAAAAGTCTAGTCCTAATCTCAGCGTCTTGTGGTGACTTGATAGCTTTGATGAATATTCGGCATTTAAATCGATTCTCCATTAATGGCCGTAACGTGGACAGTTCACGCTCTCTGTTGACAACATTTGGTAGAGCACCATACTCATCGTCGTCGCGTTTCACCAAATTTAGACACTGATGCCGAATACTAAACAATGAGGATGACTCATGAATTTCCGTGTCTTCGGGACTGAGCTCTCGAGGTAACTTGGCAATATATGGTTAGCATATCGTTCATGTTCATTGCTCCCCAACTTACGCATCAACCATCGAGTCTTCCACGTGTCATCTTGGTTACAGAATTCTATTATAAGTGTATCTTCCCAACTCCTGAATATATCAATTTTTTCGGGGTCATAGTTGAATTCTGGGATGCTATTGGTAACTGTATCACAAAAAATACTTGAAATAGCGTGTGAACTTTAGTGATGGATGTTAAGAAGTTGCGTCAGCCTCCAACAACCACATTTGTGCATCAAGTTCTGCTTGCTGTTGTCTTGGTATTCAGTTTAGCTGGTCATCTGATATGGGCATCTTGAATATGTTTTTCTTTGTCGCCACCGTTATAATGTCTATTGTTACGACCCATCTACTCTTATTGCGTAGTATTCTTCGACATTGCTTCACTTGACAAGTGTCAAAATCAGAACACGGTTGAATAGGAATGTAATTTTATTCTAGATAACAAGGGTGAATGGAAGTTGGCTATTTCCTTACCAACCAGAGCTAGCAGATGCTTGGAGAATACTTTAGAACCTTCTTGTGTAAAAATTATGAATATATTTACGTTCTTACCGTGATTTCTATTTCCATCCAACCTTGTTATTTGGAATATAATCACGTTCCTGTTCAACCGTGTTCTGATTTGGGAACTTGTCGAGTGAAATAGTGTTTAAGAATACTAAGCCATAGGAGTAGCTGGGTCGTAATTCGAGGAACCATAGCATGTTGTTTTTGTAGGTGTTTAGTGGAAAACCTTCTGCGGACATTTTTGCGATTTTAATTCAGTGACCGAGTAACGTGTAAAACCCCGCCGGAAAATTCCTGTGAATTTATCTATTGGAGGACAAGGTTTTAGCTTCTGTCATCTGATTTTAATAACATAAGGCTACTTAAACTGGTGTGTTTAAGAATAATCCATAATCGACAAGTTGACACCCAAGGAATTTTGCTTTATGATTGTTTTACAAATACATTATTATCTCAGATGATTACTGGAACCCAGTAGCCGGGATTCTTTTGCATGAAGAATTGTGATAGTGACTGACTACTCAAATCCAATTAAGTGGATTGAAGTCCAAATATGCGACCCGATAGTTGGAAGCCAAGAAGTTTGATCAATATACCACCGATACCATCATTCGTGACGTTATTTCTATTTTAGTTGCAATTCATCTGGGAAAATACCTCATTGAAAAGACGTTTTCTGAAATATACGATTATTGAGTGTGTATTTCCCACTTGTTGCTAAACTGTTCTTTGAGCAGTGGGCAGTAATTTTCAGACACCACACAGATTGTTGTTATCTGAGTGTCCACTGTTTAGTATCAGTCAGAGATAGTTTGTTTAGGCTGCGGTATGTACCTGAGATTGTCTTAAATTTTCATATTTCGTTTCCCATCACCCCTTACTTCGTTTGCCTGAAGTAGATCCAATGGTGTTCTTAAAAAGGCAATGACTTACGTAGCTTTCCATAGTTATCAATCCTTATTTAACCTGTATGTATTGGCAATTAAAACATCCTTTATTTGCATAATTCTCTAAACCTAAGTTTTTATGTCCAATCTTTTCAGAGCTTCTTGATGTATGTATAACATTATATTAATTGAAATCTAATCTTATGCCACATTGTCGTAACATGTGGTTAGCTTTGTTTTATGTTTCGGTATTTCCTTCTGTATACTCATTAACAGGTTTCTGATGTTGAAGTAGACAGTTTAGATGATGAACCAGTGAATTCTACAGTCCAAACCAATGCATCATCAAAAACAAACGCAGATATATTTGGATCCAAAGACAGTGATTCTTTTAGTAATCGTGCAAAGCTTTCACGTATTCCACAGGTGAATTATCATACTAAAGTTTCGTGGCAAGAGTGTGTTGAATCTTTGACAGGAATTTAAATTTAAATTTGTTTTGTCTTGAAACTTTAAAGTTACGTATCACTGTTTATTCCTTTTTATTCCATCCGATATAAGGAAAGTGAAATAGCTAATTCGCTGATAATTTTTACATTGCATATTAGGTCACAAGTTTTATCATCTGTCTAGGAACTGTAATAGTGAAAAGAAACTCAACTACACGGGCAAATATTAAAACATGCAGTACTTTAGATGTGTGAACATAATGGTTGTGGGTTAAACGGTTAGCAAGTAAACTGAAAACTCCGCCTGGAGTCCCTCCGGGGGCTACTGCCGGTCTCAATCCCGGATAAAGGAGGAGGGTTGAGCATGGGGTTAGCGTCCCCATCCCGTAGAAAACTAACTCGCTAAAAAAACGCTAACCAGAAAAAATTATTCAAACCTTTTAAACTCTGCCCTGGGAGTCAGAAGGTCTTCATTTAGAAGAATTATGACGCCTCATGATGAAAGCCGAATTCCTTTGGAAGTTACGAGGCCGATGCCCCTTCTGACAACCAGAGCGACCATTTATTTAGGTACATGGAATGTTCGTACAATGTGGGAGACTGAGAGAGCCTTCCAAATTGCTGCAGAAATGAGAAGATACAACCTAGAGGTACTTGGGATCAGTGAAACACATAGGACACAACTTGGACAACAACGACTAACTACAGGAGAGCTCCTGTTATACTCCGGCCATGAAGAAGAAAATGCACCACATACACAAGGAGTTGCATTGATGCTGTCCAAACAAGCGCAAAATGCACTTATAGGATGGGAATCTCATGGACCATGGATCATCAAAGCCTCGTTCAAAACAAAGAAAGAGGGCATTTCAATGAAAATCATCCAATGCTATGCGCCTACCAACGACTACAATGAAGACGCTAAAGATCAATTCTACAATAGGCTGCAGTCAATCGTCGAGAAGTGCCCAACAAAGGACCTAACCATTCTGATGGGAGATTTCAATCCCAAGGTTGGAACGGACAACACTGGATATGAAGACATCATGGGACGACACGGACTGGGAGAAAGAAACGAAAATGGTGAGAGATTTGCAAATCTATGTGCCTTCAATAAGCTGGTCATAGGCGGCACCGTATTCCCACATAAACGCATACACAAAACCACATGGACTTCACCGGATCACTCTACACAAAACCAAATCGACCATATTTGCATCAACAAAACGTTCAGGAGGACTATAGAGGACGTGAGAACCAAGAGAGGAGCTGATATAGCATCAGATCATCACTTACTGGTCGCCAAGATGAAATTGAAACTCAAGAAGCACTGGACAACGGGGCAGACAGTATCACAAAAGTTCAATACGGCCTTTCTCCAGGATACTGACAAACTCAACAAATTCAAGATAGTCCTCAGCAACAAGTTCCAGGCCTTTCATGATCTACTCAATGGAGAAGGAACTACTGTGGAGAGCAACTGGAAGGGGATCAAAGAGGCAATCACTTCAACATGTCATGAGGTCCTGGGTCACAAGAAGCACCATCACAAGGAATGGATCAATGTTGATACACTGGATAAGATTCAAGAAAGAAGAAACAAGAAGGCAGCGATCAATACCAGCCGAACAAGAGCAGAAAAAGCCAAGGCACAAGCTGAATACACGGAAATAAACAAACAAGTAAAGAGGAGCATCAGAACCGACAAACGTAAATATGTGGAAGATTTAGCAACGACGGCGGAAAAGGCTGCAAGAGAAGGAAACATGAGACAATTGTATGACACGACAAAGAAACTCTCTGGAAATCGCCGCAAACCAGAACGACCAGTGAAAAGCAAAGAAGGCAAGGTAATCATCCACATTGAAGAGCAACAAAACAGGTGGGTAGAACACTTCAAAGAACTCTTGAATCGACCAGCGCCACTGAACCCACCCAACATTGAAGCAGCACTCAGGGAGCTCCCAATCAATGTTGGCCCACCAACAATTGAAGAAATCAGCATGGCCATCAGACAAATCAAGAGTGGCAAAGCAGCAGGACCGGACAACATCCCAGCAGAGGCACTAAAAGCAGACGTAGCGGCAACTGCAAGGATACTCCACATTCTCTTCAATAAGATCTGGGATGAGGAACAAGTATCAACAGACTGGAAAGAAGGACTTCTAATGAAAATACCGAAGAAAGGCGATCTCAGCAACTGTGATAACTACAGGGGCATCACTCTTCTCTCAATACCGGGAAAAGTTTTCAACAGGGTATTGTTAAACAGGATGAAGGACTGCGTAGACGCCCAACTTCGTGACCAACAGGCAGGATTCCGTAAGGATAGATCGTGTACAGACCAAATCGCAACTCTACGGATCATTGTGGAACAATCAATTGAATGGAATTCATCACTCTACATCAACTTCATTGACTACGAAAAGGCATTTGACAGCGTGGACAGAACAACACTATGGAAACTTCTTCGACACTACGGCGTGCCTCAGAAGATAGTCAATATCATACAGAGTTCATATGATGGATTACACTGCAAAATCGTGCATGGAGGACAGTTGACAAAGTCGTTCGAAGTGAAGACCGGTGTTAGGCAAGGTTGCTTACTCTCACCCTCCCTCTTTCTCCTGGTGATCGACTGGATCATGAAGACGTCAACGTCTGAAGGGAAGCGCGGGATACAATGGACATCTAAGATGCAGTTGGATGATCTAGACTTCGCAGACGATCTGGCCCTTCTATCCCAAACGCAACAACAGATGCAGGAGAAGACGACCAGTGTGGCAGCAGCCTCAGCAGCAATAGGTCTCAACATACACAAAGGGAAAAGCAGGATTCTCCTATACAACACAGCATGCACCAATCCAATCACAATTGACGGAGAAGATTTGGAAGATGTAAAAACCTTTACATATTTGGGCAGCATTATTGATGAACAGGGTGGATCTGATGCAGATGTGAAGGCGCGGATCGGCAAAGCAAGAGCAGCATATTTACAACTGAAGAACATCTGGAGCTCAAAGCAACTGTCAACCAACACCAAGGTCAGGATTTTCAATACAAATGTCAAGACAGTTCTACTGTATGGGGCAGAAACCTGGAGCACTACTACAACGATCATCCAGAAGATACATGTGCTTATTAACAGTTGTCTACGCAAAATACTTCAGATCCATTGGCCGGACACTATTAGCAACAACGTACTGTGGGAGAGAACAAACCAGATCCCAGTGGAGGAAGAAATCAGGAAGAAGCGCTGGAAGTGGATAGGACACACTTTGAGGAAAGCACCCAACTGCGTCACAAGACAAGCCCTCACATGGAATCCTGAAGGTCAAAGGAAAAGAGGAAGACCAAAGAACACATTACGCCGAGAATTGGAGATAGACATGAGAAAAATGAACAAGAATTGAATGGAACTAGAAAAGAAGGCCCAGGACAGAGTGGGTTGGAGAATGCTGGTCAGCGGCCTATGCTTCATTGGGAGTAACAGGCGTAAGTAAGTAAGTAAGTAAACTGAAAGCTCCAATCGATGAGTGCTTGCATATGGTAATAATCTTACTAGATTTTATAACACGTGATAGTAATAGTGTATTAAAACAATAGCAGTGACGGCTGATTATGTATTTGATGATATACGTCAGACCGTTAGGGATAATTTTTTCATTTAGTGGATCGAATGAATTTTTCATTCGCATTGCCGCGAGAGTAACCAATTAACATATGTGTTTGGTTATTCACAGTTATAGTTTGTTTTCATTGCCTTGTTCGAAAACCATCTGTGTTGGTTTGGGGGCGCAGGAAGTATCGCAGCCCATATGCAAGTATGATGACGTTACTGATAATTTCATCACTTAATTTTAATATTCAGTCTTGCCAGAATATACAAAGACAAAATAAATTAGTAAACCCTCGCTATCATATCAGAATGCTATTAGTATTTTTGAAATCTCGCACCTACAATACACATTTCCCTAGCTCCAGTTTAAATGGCTTAAAATTTAGCTCAATCACTTGTTATTGCTAAGTTCTAAAATAAATATAAAAAAGTAAGTAAAGTTTTGGGTATTTTAAGAATAACAAAATATTTATGATTGGTGTTGTGATTAGTTTCGAGCCATAGTCTCTTAAACTATTCAACAATGAACTTTGTTTATCTCTGAGACCTATTGTGCTCATATTAACATGTAATATCATTGAGTAGTAAGATCATTAATATGATCCTTCTGATTTCCTGACTTATTTATTTCCTCTCTTCAAAAAATTGAGTTTGCAGTATATTGCACCTCATTGTATTGATTAATTTATCGATTCTTACGGGCAGCCATTATATTTGACTTGATTTTCACATTATTTAGCCTGGGGTTCAGCTATATACATAAGCAAATGGTTTCACATAGATCAGGTGTCTATAGTTTTATTATGTGTTTGCTTGGAAGATATTTCACATCTCTATAGAAAAAAAGGTAAGATGCCTCACCGTATTACTTAGTTATCAAATACAACCAGCCAATTTGCAATTATTACAAGTAGGTAGGCTGCTATGAATCAAATAAAGTTATTGTGTTGTTGCTTCAATTTTTCGGATTACCAGTTTATAAAGGATTTTCATTTCTGTCTGAATGGTGATCATAAAATTAATGTTTAGTGTCTGTGTACAGTACTGAACATAACTGAATTCTGGCCTCATATGATTACCTTTTCGTCGGTATAAAACGTACATCATGAATTTTTCAGATTTCCAATTTTCGTGATTGTTTTTCATAAAAGGATTGTATTATTTAAGTGTAAACCAAGAGACCCTGGGTTAACCCGTAGAAAATCATAGCTAATGGGCATTGATTAATATACTTATATACCATCAGGTGCTTTCTAGGGTAGGATCAATACTTTCCAAATATTTTTGAACCGAGGTTTCGGCGTTGGATTTTAAAAACCATGCCAATCGAACTAAAACATCACAATAAAAACTCTTCGTTCTCGTAATATTTATAGCCCCTAAACACACTGGTACAAACGAAGATGTGGTGAATCCACTGTCCTCGAAATTCTCTCACATGACCACGTATATACTACCACTGCCACGGGAGTCCTACCCACTGTCTTCTCACGGCAGGGTGTTGTTTACGAAATTGAGAGAATGGAAAGCGAATGCCCGGTGCGTTATCTGGGTTGGTGAATATGAAGGACCCACCTAGAAAAAATGTAAAACTCTGATTCCAAACCAGTGGTGCACATGGGCTCCAGTGTCCTGAGGGAACAAAAGGCGTATGAACCTGTTGTTGGTCACCGGCTACCATGGGGTTGAATTTCATTCCGTTGCTCCACTGTCTTGTGGATTATACCTGAAGGTCAAACGCTTGTTTAGTGGCACCCTAAGAAAACTACCTGCTTCGGTTTGGGTGCCCGGAAAGTATTCCATTTCTCACGCAAATCGGATGAAGTGTGGTGCACATATAAATTTGGTGCCTCCTTGTACCAATGTTTATATGTTTAAATAAATAAATATTGCAATTTACACTCGTAACTCGTCTAGAGCTACTAAATACCAGTTACTTATTTAAATGTATATCATAAAGATTATGTTATTATCTATATTAAAGGCATTGACTTATTTACTATCCAAAGTGATGCACTGTTGGCAGATCAGTTTCTAGCATTCACAATTTAAGTTACTTCCCAGGTAATGTATACAACGTGATAGTGTTTCTTTGAACTTCATTTCTTGATAGCTGATCAGATCCCCTAATCGTTCCCTTAGTCAATCCATCATTTCAAGCAATCAGGAGGCTACGAAAAATATTGCATCTACAATATCATCTCGCCACAGTCTCCCTTCACAGATGGAGTTTCCTGTCTTACAGTCATCTGCCAACACAACAACGACAACTAGTAAACACCATGTATCAAATTCTGACTTTATTAAAGTAAAATCTTCAGGAAGCAATCAGTATTTCGTCCCGAATTTACTTACAACACCAGATGTGACGGAAAGCAATCAAAATTTTCATTTGAAAACATCTCTCTCCAATCCTACATCTTCACAGTCAAGTTTATCATTCGATTTAATGAATAACTCAAGATCATGCAATAAAAGTCGAGTACAGGTCACAGTTAAGAAGTTGAATTCATCATCTCCATCTATAAATAATTTAGATTTATCTAATCTGAACAAAATAAATATGGATTCGATTGCATCGTATGCCCATGAAGATCCAATTGAAACACATGATCTAGTTGTAGCTAAAATGGCTGCGGATGGAGTGGTTTGGGTACCATCTTCTGACGCAAATCATTCTACCATTAATAGTACAATTGCTGAAAAAAACGAGGTTCATCAATCTATTTTACAAAAAACTGATCAATTGAGATGGTATTCCGAGGAAATTGAAGAAGAGAAAATAAATGATAATGTAAGTTAATGAATACTATTTCTTATGACAATGTTTGTAAACTAAATGAACAGGTGGAATTAACTAGGGGATAAACGAATAGACAGTGAATCTTTGGAAGCATTTATCTTTCAAATGTCGTTGACTTTGAATGTCTATGTATACTTTCTCATTTTACTACCTTACATAAAATGTTTATGCAGTTATAAATAAGGTCAGATTTATAAGATACAAGCCACTTGATTTTGGTTGGGTCCTTTCATTGATCGATATTTCTGATTAATGTCCGTAAATGATCTAATTGAAAACTATTTACAAAGGCTCAGATATCTGTACCCCTTAACTTTTTATAAATATTGAACAGTAAGTATTAGGCGTCATTTATTTTAGTCTTGACAGATAACAGTTTTCATTTGTGTTGACTTACTAAATACAGTTGCACAATGTTTCATTTGCAACTTGTGTACTTTGGTACGAGTCCCTACTTTAGTGTTTTTTCTGTTCCCATACATGATCAAGAGATTATTACATTGTGATTATTTATTACCATTTTCATTTCAACCTATAAATACTGACGATTCATATTTTTCCGTTAGATAGTTATCATTTTCTTGATTTTTATATATGACAACAATTCTGTAAAAGATTTACTTGACATGTATTGGATTATTTAGAAATTATTTATACCAATGATTTATCCTTGTTAATCTGATCAAAGGTTCGGTTCACTAAACTAAATAGACTAAAATTAGCTAGTAAAGGACTGAACGATGAATATGTATTACTGAAATTTCTAGTCATAAACTAAGCTCACACATTACTTGCTTTCATTTTTTTGAATAAGTAATATTCTTTTTATGTATATTGTATGCGATTGCTTCAAAAGTATGTTAAAATGCATAATTGTTTTTTTTTCGTGCACCTCATGAATAAGAACTGTCTAGACTTAAACTTTCACTCATGATATTAAATAGCTAATAGGTCAACATGTCCACCAGTATACTATTACATATTTAGATTTTTCTCAAATTTATGTGATACATTTAAGTATGTACGTATTACTTTCTAGTTATATCGACCATCGACTCCTTTACTCACTGTACTTTTTTTGTGTACTGCTCGAAGAATCTGTCATATGGGTTAGAAAGTTTGTCATAATCACACTATTTAAATATTACATTGTTTATTTGTGTATTTCCTCTTGTGTTTACGGCACTATTTTATGTTATTATTGATCCAGTTTGTGTGCGAAATAAATGGCGAACAATCAAATCATGAATAACATTTTTAATAACTTAGTATTGTATTTCATTTTTTAAAATTCGAGCAGAGTAATTTCGTATATTGTTATTAGATGTATGGCTTATGTCAATTACCGGTTTTCCACACTGTAGAAGGATATTTTTTTAAGGTATATGAAAATAAAACTAAATTATAGGTAATTTTGCCAACTTTCAAATGGGACTGCAGCGCTTAAAAGGCTACTGTTTTAGGCCGGTCAGTCACAGCCTTTTTGTAAGTAATTGATGTAACTTATTTGCCAAGTAAATATTCATGTACTCAGCTTCGAGTCGCTCTTTATGTATGAGGTCTAGTGATGCTAAACATAACTTTCAGATAAACTTTCTACTCAATTGTTCATAATGCTTCTACTATATACTGTGCAAACTTCAGTATGCTGTGTTTAAAAAAGATGTTCATAATAAATATTATTGATGTACCAAGTATAATTTTATGCATTCGAGTTTCAACTGTATTGTTTATGTGGAAGCTAGTAATACTTACAATCTGCCTTCAATCTATACAAGTTGATTACGGTTTGGACTGGTGCTGGTTAAAAGGCGAGACATTAATTCTAATCTTC